CCCCCGCCGAGGAGACGGGCAGCGGGAGGGAGGGCTGGGGGAGAGCGGCGGCCGGGCAGTGCACGGCGCTGGCCGCCCTGGCGCAGGGCTGGCAGCCGCTCCGGGCCGCCCCCGGGGCTGCAGCGGAGGGCACGGGCTGCTCGGCCACAGCGTGCGGGGGCCGCAGGGGGAAACCGAGTACAAACTCTCTTCGCTGAAAAGGCTCGGAGTGGACATGATGAGCGCGGTCGGGAGGCAGGGCAGCGCCTGGAACGGGGATGTCTGAGGGGGCACGATTCCCACCTTGCCTCCACCCTTGACAAGGGCTCCGCACCTCCCATTCCTCGCCGTCTGGACGCAGCCACAAGCCCTAATACACCGTGATGTGCCATAACACACGGATCCGCCGTTTCACAGACGTGTATTACATTTCAGCGGGGGAAAGCCCAAACCCGCCGTGCCCCACAGCTGCCTCTCTCCGCGCCCACTGGAGCGCCCCGGCTCCCTGTCGCGGGTCCGGCCGCTCCGCTCTCCCGCTCGCAGCGGCGGAGCCGTCCCGGCGCTGCCGGTGGCCGGGCTGCCCCACCTAGAGGCGGCCTGGCCTCACTGCCCGGCCCTCGGGGCTGCTCTCGGTCCCGCACTGCCCGGCTGCCCGTGGCAGCGGGGCTCGGGCGGTCAGGGCAAGAACGTGCCGAGACACGGGTGCCTCGCACAGCTCCGCTGCTCGGAGTCCAGGGACAAACCACGGCGTGAGCTGCACGGCGGGAGGGGAGCCTGCCTGGCTGCAGCGTGAGGTGGCTTCTCTCAGCCACCTGAGCAGTTCTGTTTGCCAGGTGAGAGAGAGGCAGCCCTTCCACAGAAGCACTGCGTCTGACATGTGGGGCGATGAAATGGGGAAAGGTATGCTCTGCACACGGGCAGCTTGTGAAAGCCGTTTTATCACATGTGAAAGCACAAGGAAAGGTGGCTGCAAAACCTTAGAAAAGCCTTTTTAAAGAGCACAGACTTTCTACATAATATGTAACGTTGTATAAAAAGACCCAGATGATCCCCTGTGTGGGAGTACATTGCACTGGGAAAAGGAAACGTTATAACTTTTCCTTCAGGGTAGGATTTGCCCAGTATAGGAAAATAATTAGTGGTGTAATCTCCATGTGCCAGTTCTGGGGCACAGCCAAGCTAGCACAGTACCACTTCTGCCTTCCAAACTCTTCTCAGTTCTGAGGCAGGCCAAAGAGTTTCATGGCCAGGGGCTACCACACACTGTAGCCCTCTTGGCAGCACCTCCCAGCGCCTGCATGGTGGTAGGTATTACTTTTGCCATACCTTATTAGAGGAGATTTTTTTTCTAGACACATGCTGTCTCCCCAAACTAGTTTGCCTCCTGGTATACTCAGAACAATGCAAATCCTTGCTGAGTCTCCTGCTGGGTCTTCCAGGGACTTAGGTGGAAGATGGCAGTGGTGCAAACAGTGCTTCCTTCTATAAGGAATTTTTATCCCTTGTTGGTAATGGGGAAGATTTCTTTCATGGCTTTTACCTCAGCTGTGCTGCTCTCTGGCTGTGCAACAAAGGCATGTAAACATATCCTGGACAACTTCCTGGTTTTGCAGGAAAATCTTAGGTCATGTGCTTTTGAACAGGTTTTTACTATTTCTTGAATAATAATTTATTTCCAACAAATGTAACTGTAACTACACAATAGGTGAGAGCTGTACGTCTCTAAATCACATTACTGTCAAGATTTCTCCGTGTATTTCATGAAGGACCTCATAAAAGTAACTGCTACAGTCTTCAAATTGCTTTTTGCAGTTGACATCAGGACCTTGTGTTGCTGCTGACATGTCAGCTGTAAGATGTTTCCAGACTTGAGTGAGAGAAGAATATACTTTCTACAATTAAGAGAAAAATTTGAATGATTTTTAGAATTCAACTGAATATGTGCAAATATAATGCTGACAATGAGAACTTTATTCTCACTAATGTGATAACCTTTTAGCAAATTAGCTGAGTAGGTTTTAATAGCTGCTTTACGATCCCCTTCATTCCTTATATGGGGAAAAGCCCATGTTCTTTAGGGCTGGGAGGCTCAAACAAAAACACTCCTGCAGGAGTTTACAACCAAACCAAAAAGAATGCTTGAATTTTTCTGGTTGTGTATATACACAATTCCTCTCAGTTTTATTGCTCAGAGATGATGTTTCTGGGAAAATCAACCCAGATCTCCTTCTTGTTACTTCATCTTTACACTAACAAGTGAAGGCTTGGCATGCAGAGTACCAAGCATGAAAATAAACCTACCAACATTTAATTTTACTGCACGGCAGTTTCTCCTGAATTATCCCTCCTTTCAAGACCTTGAAAAGGAAAATACATATGGGCTGTCTAACCACAATATGCTCTCAGGAAGGAGTGAAGCTGCATGGTTGTCTCTGATGCTTGGTGCCAGGAGGCAACAAGTTCTGTACACACTGAGAGCCTTGTCCCACAATTGCCTTCAGGCACCACTTTTTGAAGTAGATCTACTACTTTTTGAAATAGTACTTTTTGAA